ATTTGGAGCGATAGTCATTCCATTTTTAGACGTTTAAAAGTAATTGGAGAAAGCAACATAGTTAAACTGATTATCCACAATACTTGAATGAAAATTCTTTGCAGTCTGTGACTGCCTGGAGTCACCCATGGGCATCACAAAATACTGCGTTGCCTCCCTTGAGATGCTCTGTCTGGCTTTTACCTTCAGCCACTGCTTGTGTTCGCATGTTTTTGCATTCAGTTGTGTCTTCAGTGAATAAAATGCATTCTCAGTTGAGGTCAGTTGAGGACTTGGCCATTTGAGAACATTCTCTTGGGTCGTTTTTTAAATGATGTTTTGGGTCATTATCTATCTGTACTTTGGAGTTCTGTTTCTTTACATTTTGCAGCGTTTGACTTTATACACTGTTTCCACATCATCGCTTCTTTTTGCAGAGCTGGGCAGGTTTTTCCAGTCCAAATTGGACCTTTCACTCTTTCAGCATTAACGGATGTATAAATCCTCTTTAGAAACAGAAAAGAGCAAATCTTGACTTTTCTTAACTCTTTTTTCTTCTTCTTTTTTTATTACTAAGAAAGGAATTCTTCAGTTATCCACATTATTGTGTCTTATGGGTTTTTTAGGCCTTTTGTTGTTTAATTTTAAAAGCCAACACATTGTAGTTTTGGCGACTCCTAAAGGTTCTATCGCCTCGCTGTTAGGTTTCTCGTGCATCCACAACACTTCAGATCACATATCAAGGGTTCCTGTCAAATACTACCAATGCAAATTCAATACTTGGAATGAACTCCATACCTTTTATCGCCTTTAATTTTTCAAGAAACACTCAGGAAACAGCAGAAACTGGCTGTCAGCTCTCAAAAGTAAGAGCATATTTTTTGTTAAAACCCTTAAAATTAAAGGTGAAAGTCTAGCTTCATTCCCATCCTGATTGCTTCATTTCCAATCTTTTGTGCTGAGCAGAGACAAAATTACACAAAGTGCCACCGTCCAAATATTTATGGGTCCGACTGTAGATGGGAGATGAGTCAGAGCAATGAATAATTCTTTTTTCTTAGTGTGCGCAAATTGCTTCTTATCATTGTGGTAGTGCATAAAAATGTTTTCTTTCAGAAGGCACTCTGTAGTGAGTCACGGTTATCTTTGCTTTCACTAATAACGGGCACGTAGGCTACGCTGACGTGGCAATGACTGACTAATGCGACAAACTCTTACTGACCAGTGAAATTCAAACATTTGCATTAAAGCACTATGATGGAAATGTGAATTCCCCTTTTAAGGTTCTTTTATGGCCCTTTATCAGTCGCCTCGCAGCAAATTCACGAGTTTTATCCACCGCATACTCATTAATTAATCTGTAATCCAAAACGGCCTTTCAGTCAGACAGTATTGTCCATCTGCTGGGGCCTCTTGAATGTTTTTGTTACGCCACTACACTGTGATGTGACAGTTTGAGTCAGAGCTGACTGAGGAGAGCGTGGCTGACAGCTGAAGCATAGCTCAGCCTCTCCAAAGACGCTGATTTCCTGCTTCATATGTGCTCAAATGCCCCCACCCAACCAACTAACCAACGCAACACGACGACGCCACACAACTCATGTAGAGGGGGGAAACAGATTCCTGTTGGCATGGCAACCGTGTGGGATTGTGTTTAATTTGTCTTGATAGGTAATGCTAACAACGCCACGGCGTAAAATTGCTCAAGAGCAAAACGCATTTGAATCTCGCGAGCAGCAGTCATTTGCTGTAGAGCCGTGTTTCCTTTTATTTGTATTTTCGGTGTCAGGAGATACAAGTGTGTTCAAATATTGAATAAGCTCTGGCAGCATCCTGTGTACAAGCTTTTTGTTTAAAGAGAAAAATAAATGTTTCTGAGCAAACTGTGATTTATTTTCAGAATCACTCTAAAACATCAGGGGTAGAAACAATCCCCCTGAAGTCTCCTGATGTCTACCTATTTGTCATGGACACTGCGCCTTTGACCACGTCTGTGCTGACTGGACTGCCAATGATTATGAGGAAAAAAAAAGAAACAGAAAAATTATGCAAGTCTCCCATCGTGCTTGTCAGCAGTTCTTCCTGGCTGAAGACGAGCTCAGCGAGCTGCCCTTTGAGCTAAATCCATTCCATTCATACTTAATTTTGAAGTTTCCGCCTGCGCAAATAAATAACTGTATCGCTCCCACAGATATATCTACAAAGGCACAGAGCTGTGGCTCTTTCTAATTTTGGATCGCACACTAAAGTGGCTCTCCTAATTTTCCACCTCTTTTGTCTAAATAGCAATCGCTCCTGTAAAGTCAAAAATCTGTGTTTAAGCACGATGTTTACGCTGTGATTTGGTGGCCACCCCAGGTCAAACGCCGCTGTTGTGTTTTGCCCAGCAGGCTGTTTTGCAGCTTGGTGGTTCCATCAAGCAGGGCTGTGCATCAAGGAGCAGGCAGGAGGAGGCTGGAGGGAGGGAGGTGGACGAGCAAGGAGCAGCTTGAAATAGGAGGTGACTGCTGACATTCACCTAACTGCCCTCTATAAGGAAAAGAATAAAAGAATAAGCAGGGTGGAGGCTAGAATGAGAGATGGAGGGGAGTGTGTGATTATGGTTACTAAGACTACAGCATGCTGCCCTGTTAAAAAAGGGAGGGGCTTGGAGGAAGGTCAGGCAGCTGAGGTACAACCAGCTAAATCAACTCTGAAGTGTGAGGTCCCCGGTGGCATTGGGGTTGAGGAAATGTAGCTGTTTAGGTTGCTCAGGAGGAACATAGATTGTTGCTGAGAATGGGACCTTACGCACGCCACGGCTTATGGCGCACACACACACACCCCGGGGCTGTAAATCACTTTGATACGCCACATAAAAAGGGATAAAAGATGTAGGAAGAGATGCAGAGACAAGTATACGAGATATGGTTTCTTTTTTGAATTTGTGCGATTTGAAAACATTTCCCATGGGGATGATGGGTCACTCGGAATCTGTGCTCACTGCATTCGAATAGCACGCCAGGGCCCGTGTTTAACACAACCTAGATCGTCACCTAGGCTGAAATCCTCCCTGACTCCATCCCTGATGTCTGTATCCTGTGACGTCTTGGAAACAGACTGCCAAACTCGAGCTGCTCACAGAAAGGAAATGATGCAACATAAATTTCAAGGCAAAGATCCTCTGTCTTTCTTCCTCTCCCTCCACACACACACACACACATGCACATACACACATACACACACACCCTGCAGGGTGAAAATCAACACCTTTTCAAGAGTGAGTCAATGCAGAAACAAATAGCTAACAAAGCTGATGCTGCCGTGGTGTCTCGGACGTAAAAAGAACTGTGCTTAAGCACACAGCTGCTCTTTGGCACATTTATTTTCTAGGATACAGAAGGAACCAGGACGATCAGGACGAAGCAGAATAAAAGGCTGGACAAACGCCACGGTTACTGTAATCAACATAATACTGGACAAGGAAGCTCTTGATTAACTCGATTAAGAAATTTGGCTATCTTCCTCCTCGGCATTGATTGGGTTGAACATCTGACTAAGCAGCTACCCATTAACTGTAAGGGCACTTTCCGTGCATCCACATTCATCTCTGGCAGGAAGCTTCCCTCCCCTTTAGGTTCAAAGTGCTGATCCTCTCACGCCAGGGAAGGTGAAGCGATTGAAAGCTGATTAAAAACAGACTGCATTCGGAAAGCAAGCCGCAAGCAAGATGCCGTCATTATGCCTATTATGAACGGGTATCATCAGCAGCATTGTCATTAGCATCATTCTCCATCAGGGTCATCTGATGAATCAATGTGAGGGGTCAGTCATTTTGCTTCTTCCGAGAAATCTGTTCATGTCGCGCAAATTCTGTTAATAACCTAAGGTGCTGGCTTCATTTGAAAGAACATTTTCTGTTGTAATCACTTCTTCACAACAACAACAAAGATCTCAGCTTGTTTAATCGCTACTTCACACTCTGATGAAGGTGCCTGACTAGAGAATTATCACTTTTTTGAATAAAATCACAGCTCAGATAATGTCAGCAGAAAGCCTTTTCTTTTGAAACACGCGTTTGCTTAACTTTCTGAGCACGCCACACTTCCCTCCGCTGTATTTGTGCATGGCATGTAGAATTCATGAGCTGATGCAGATATATCAGTTGCGCAGAGTTAAGTGTGTGTGGCCACACATGCTGACAGTAGCACTTTGGAAGCCTTTTTTTCTGATTAAACTTGCTCTTTGGCAGCCTAAGTGCTGCCTGTCCTGTCCTAAATGCAGTCACTCACTGGTCCACACACCCTTGAGCAACATTTCTGTCCACCAGGATGTCAAGTTACTAAATCGTGAGCTTTGCCAAAGTTCCCGAAGCTGTAATCATGCCACTCTTGTGGGGCTGCTGGATCTTGATTGTAGCTCAGACTTTCTTGGACAGTATGGACTACTTAGTTATTTGGTCAGAATATAAAATGATCTGCTTCAGGTCATAACAAATCAGAGGGAATGTGGATCTTGAATGCAACTCTGGTGGGGATTTTTTTTTAATTTTACAGGCAGGTTTACATTACAGTTTGGATTTACTTCTGCTTAAAGATGGCGAGAGTCTTCACTTTGGCATTCCCAAGCTGTGCCCCCCCACCACCAAAAAAAAAAAAAATCTTGCCAGGGATGTTATTTGTGTTCTTTGGTGTTTACAGTTGCTAAAAAGAAGATAAAGTCAGACCGGTTGTCTCTTTAAATCAAGCTGCAGTGTTGATGTGCCCTCAAGCTGAAATGGTAAGAACCATTTCCACCTCTGCGGCAGGGAGCTTGACCAAATAGGCGCACTAGAGCGCTTCAAACGTGATTCTCATTCCCTTGGTCACTTTTGGTCTATGGTCGCCTCCACTCCCGGAGAGGAAAGGATTTTTTTTTTCAGTTTTTTTCTTCTTCTTTCTTTTTTTTTAACAGAGTTTTTTTTTTTCCCCACAGCGCATCACCGACACATTATTTAATTTTTATTTTCTTCTCTCTCTCTTTCTTTTTTGTTCCATCCGCAGAACTCAGTGGCAGTCGCCTCAATCCATTTACCGCTGGCTGGTACGCCTATCTCTTCCTCGCCGTTGCAATCTGTTGATAACTCCACTTGCAAGCTGCAGTTTATTGTGTTTCGCAATGGGAAACTCTTCCCTTGCACCGGCAATTCGTCAAATCTCGCAGACGACGGGAAGCGTAGGAGCGTTTCAACACCAGTTGCTTTCACCAAATTAGGTAAGAGGAAATCCATTTTTATCATCATGCCTGTGATGTCAACGCCGTGCTGTATTTGCCGACACGGACATGCTTTACACACGCACACACGCGCGGACATAGCCGTAGTCCATCAGTTTGCTCTGCGCAACATGTTGACACACCGCTCCCGTGCGTATTCCCGGAATAAATGAAAGAACTCTGTTGCGGTTTCATTTACTCTGATTACAGAGGGCAGCGCGTGCTTCAGATCACCCTGCACACTCCGCTGCTGCATCGTGTCCGAAAACACACCATGTTTTAGCAAAAATTTTATTATTTTTTGGTTCGATTTGAAATGAAAGTTAACTGCAACACTTCACACACCAGTCTATCACCCGCAGTCAGCTGTCTGACACTTGTCTAGCCTGTGTGCATGTGTGTGTATAGCGGCCGTGGGGGTGGGGGGGTTCGTCCTCTCATGCCCATGCTTTTTTTGTGCCACAGCACTTACAGACTTTCCACATGATTTCCTTTACTGAATGTGTTGCTTTCCTTGCAGATGGGTGCAGCCTCGGGAGCGCCGTGCACTCTGTTACTATTGCTCTGAGGCACTTCGCGCTGGGTGTAGACCCCACCGCAGCCTATTGGGATTTTGACCTGCTGGATGGACACGGTGGCTGGAGGGCAGAGGGCTGCCACATAACAGGCTCCGGGGGCAACACGACCACCATTCATTGCACCCACCATAATAACTTTGCTGTGCTAATGGTGAGTAGTCTCCTGTGTGGTACCGGTGTCATTCATTTTTTTTTTACCATGACCCCCCCTCCCCTCCCCCCCACCACTACATAAATGCTTCCTCCACTGCTTAAGGCCTGTTATGGATCAAATGCATCTGTTTTCACCGTGGAATAGGCTGGAGTCACGTGTTTTAAGAAGGGACCTTTAAACGCTTCCTTTTATTGTTGCTCCTCTTCAGCAGAGGGAAAAGGATTTGTCAAATGCATTACGGGGATTTATTGGCTTTGGAGTATGCGCTATGCTAAAAAAAAAAAAAAAAA